TTGATGATTTATGTAATTCGTTAAGATTCTGGACAGGTATGAAGGACAACGGGACATGCTATATAATCAGACATTCAACCTTGATCAAGTTGCCTTTGCTTCAGAGGGTATAAAAGATGCTCAGCAAACGGTAATGTCCTAAGCTGTTACGTTCTGTGATAAACGTCATATGTTTAGTATTGAGTAAATAGACATATAAGGATCTGTTCGTTTAATGTTCGTCCATGTGTTGGATTGTTTTGATTTTCAAATGTGAGGATTCGAGAATACTGAATGACATAGCTCAACATAACAAATGACATTGTATGACGAACTGCTTTCATTTTATTAGTGAAGCCAAACCTTTAGCACTAAGGGCTGGGGGTAGGTACCCAGTATGTTTTAATTATGACATGTATTTAGATGGATTAGATGCCTTCTTTCCTCTAAAAAACAAGTACCAAAAAAAACAAAAGAAGAGATAGGTAGGATGCTCAAATTAAAGGGTTAACTATTGATTTACAGCATGCTGGAGAGGTTCTGTATTCTACATCAAATTTGGTTGCACTGGGAATATACTAAATTCACCTTAAAATTGTTGATTTTCCTTGGTAGCGGCCCAAGGGGCATAGTTCAAGGCTGTTGAGGTGGAGCTTTTTCTGTACCCTGATTGGAACCGGCTGCCTACCTCATGAGAGGTAGGAGATGGACCATTTGTGTATGGGGAGGGTTTTTTTCTTATAAGTTGGATTCCGTTATGCTCATTCCTGGTATCCATTTAGGATTCTAAATGTAGACGCCATGGAGGCATATTTTCTGCCGTAAGAATACTTTTGTTTGGAATATAACATTGATATATTTTACACAGATGACAGCTCTGAAGTCCGCAAACAAGGAGCTCAAAGGGATGATGAAAACTGTGAAGATTCAAGATATTGATGTCAGTAGTCTCGTTCTACTTTTGTTCCCTTGCTTCCATACTAGCTACTTTTGAAAGCTTATCTTTCTAACGTGTGAATACTCGTTTGTTGTAGAATTTGCAAGATGAAATGATGGACCTGATGGATGTGAGCAATGAAATTCAAGAGACCCTTGGTAGAAGCTATAGTGTTCCTGATAACATTGACGAGGAAGATCTTATGGGTGGTAAGCTTAGAAATCATTTAAGTTCCCAACTATTGAAGGAAATACTGCCTTCACATTTCATTCATGGCTGAAATCTTTCTGATCAATTTCGGACTGTCAATCTTTAGACTATAGGCTAGGGGAAACCTTCTTATTCACCTCGTGCACTGTTAAGATCTATTCTGGTCACATTCAAAGCTGATATGATTCTGTGTTCTTGATGGTTCTGTTTCTAATTGTCTTACCGTATTCTCAATTTGGTGTGCAGAGCTGGATGCTCTAGAAGCAGACATGGGTATGGAAACAGAAGCTGATGGAGTTCCCTCCTATCTTCAACCTGATGCTGAACCGGACTTGGATGCGGAGCTCCGCTTGCCTTCAGCACCCACAGGACATGCAACAGCTCCAGCTGGGAGATCCAATGCCCAGGTACATGTGCCTTGATTTTGTTTGCTGAATTGGATGTTTTCCTTGTGGTTAGAAAGTCTCCTTCAGGGTACCCGTTCGCTGGATTGGCAGCATGCTCCACATAACTGTTTTCTGTTGTGCTAATTCTTCTTTGAAATACAATGCTGGCAGGCTGAGGACGAATTGGGTTTACCGGCTGCCCCTCGGGCAACACTTCGCGGTTAGGGTTCATTTGCTCTTTCTTTTGTGCATGCGGGACAGAGCTGGATGGAGGAGTAACAACCCTTGTATCAAACATATTGTGCAGAAGTGAATATTCATTTGTGCAGTGTTCAAATTCACGTATTTTGTGGTTGGAAATAGTTTGGTTTTCAACTTTTCATAATAAGGGCTCGTTTAGAAATGTTTTTAAAATGATTTAAAGTGGTTTCGGTGAAAGTATTTTTGGGTTCCAAAAGCACCTAGAGTGCTTCCTCAAAGACGCACCAGCTCTGGGATTTTTTCAAGAAGTGTTTTTTCAGGATTCATTTTCATTTTTATTAAAGATTGGTTCTAAAAGTTCTCTCATCAAAAATCTCCAGTTATTTTACAAGTATTTCCAAATGAGTTCCAATATTATTGAGATTTGGAACAGAAAAAGTGGAAATCACTTCACAACTCACAAGGTTATTAGTCTAGGACGTGTAGTATGACGGTTAACGAAGATAATCACACAGAAGTTTAGATTGATTTAACTAACGTTGAAGTTTAGATTGATTTAACTGAAGTAGAAGTTTATGGGATTATGAGTGCATTGTACTTGACAAAATATTTTTCGGAGGTATGAATCCGTAGTGTATTTAAAAAAAATTAATGGTGACAAACATATGGTATAAAAAGTATTCGTTGAGTAATAGACAATTCCTTTATTAATTAAAATGCTTAGGCACAACCTGATTGAACAACAATAGAAAAAAAAATATAGAGAGCTAGTCATGTGGGAAATAGAGAGGAATTTTTTATCCTTTGTTGGAACCAAGGTCTAAAAACAGCAAAGTCATGATGGTTTTCTCTCTTTCACCACTTGCTTAGACCGTCAGTCGGTCCTCATAGGCGCTTCTTCGAATTTTCAAGAAGTCCTGGCACCATCTGAGTCCATGAATGGATCCGCCCCGACTCGTATCACCAAATTCATTAAAATACTAATTCTAATATTTTGTATGTTTTATGTCAAATAATAAACCTAATTAAAATAATAAACCCAAAATTTCAATAAATGTATAATTTTCTTACGTGTAAATATGCACTTATTCATATAATATGTGATGAATTTATTTAAATCCGTCTAGGTGTCTAGGCGTTAGGTTCAAACTCGCCGCTCGACTAACAACTAGCTTACCTTGATTAGGACTATTAGATGTTAGAATCATAGATTTGCCATTATCTAGAATGTCTTTTTATTAGGTCACAACAATCTATGAATTTCAAGCACCATTTGTTTTGCAATTAATATATCAAAACTCTTCATTAGCTATTGCACTTTAAATAGGTGTTAGTGTAACAAATATATGATAAATAAGTATATATGTGTTCAAATATGAACAATTAAAAAATCGTCGTCCCATCCCACAAACATTGTACCAAACAACAAACTCAACATAGGTAGTTGATCATTGAATATTTTCATTTCATTCCTTTGCGCGCAACAAACACCGTACAAAACAATTGTCCCATTCCTACATCCGCATACCAAACGCAACGCGAAACCTCTATTCCGGCTTATTATGTCTCATTATGTCCCATTTCGTTTTGTCTGCTTACCAAACACTTCCTAACTTTTCAGGTTCATTATACGAGGATTGAGGGAAATTTAAAGCGGAATATTACGAGCCCACAATTTTTGGAGCATTAGATTAGATATTAACATCAAGCAAGCATATTCCTTTACCTACGCCGCACACCCTACAACGTACAATTCCTCTACCACCAAAAAAATTACTGCACAATTTTTACTACGGCCATTAGTAGAGACTCAGGACAACAACTTATATGCCGACATGATTTCTAATAGTAATGAAACAATGACATGTACGCAAAAATTTATACAACATTTATTTTATTAAAAGAGAAATGCTAAGAAGACTCTTTGGACTCTCTATTACTTTATTTTTTTGGCACAATGTTATACAATGTTAGCATGAGTATTAACGTTAAACTATGAGGTGACAAAAAGTCCATGGATAGTCCCACTTTGAGAGAATTCCCTTAGCATTTCTCTTATAAAAAAATGTTACTTTACTGCATATTGGTATCCATGGGTGGATCCACTCTTGGACCTAGGTGGTTCGGGGACCACCCGGACATCCAAAGAAGCACCTATGAGAACCTTCGAGGACCACCCAATGGTCTGGACATTTGGTGGAAGAGAGAAACCATCATGGCTCCTATCATGGCTCTGATGTTCTTGAACCTTGGTTACAACGAAGAAGAAAGACTTTTCTCTCTATTTCCCACATAACAAACTCTCATTTTTTTAAATTGTTGTCCAATCACCCTAGCGTTTAATTAGCAAAGGAATGGTGTAATATTTTTTTTGAACAAACGATATTATCTACACAAAAGATGGTGTATTACTCAACTAATATTTTTATACCATATGTTTGACACCGTTATTTTTTTTTTAAATTCCATATAAATTCATACGACATCTAAAAAGTATTTCGTAAAGTATTATGAACTCCTAGTCGCTTGCACTTTCATCTCATACCATCAAATTCACTAAAATGCTAAAACAAAAATTTTGATATTATTGTATGTTATATGTTTAATAATAAACATAATTAAAATAAAAAACCTCAAATTCTCAAGACAAGTATATTATTTTGTAAGTGTAATTTAACTAGGCACTTACTTGTACAATATATGATAAGTTCACTTAAATCCGCCTAGTCCATCTAGGCCTATGTCTCTAGGCACATAAGCGTCCTAGCTTGCCTAACGTCCCTTAATTAGAACCACCCAAAGTTATAATTCTAGATCCGCCACTGTTGGTATCATCTCTCTAATAAAGACAGAACCTACATTTGTTGGCAGAACCTACAAATATGTGTTAAATGTAGTATTACTCTTATTTTGGCACATAAACTTGTGTATTTTTGCTCACCTCTAAAAGTAGGGGGTGATGCTCACCCCACTATTGTTTACCATCAAATTAGTTTAGCTTAATTGATTTAAGACACGAATCTTAAAATTTAAACAAATATAACGACGATCAATGGGGGTGATGTTTAGCCCTATAGCTATGCAAGAAATTATTTTTTTAATAAATAATATCATATCATATTTTATACCGTCTTCAATCAAGAACCAAAGAATCGCCGAAACATAATCATTCTCCAACGAAGAGGAAGAGGGCTATTTTTTAGCCCCCATTTTAGGAGTTGAGCAAAAGCATTCCACACAGAAACTACCGTGACGATGTATTCTGTGCATACAAGTCATTTTTCTAATTGAGAGAAAGTAAATCTTTTTACCATTTACTAGGTTAGTTTTCTGGACTAAGAAAGAGTGAAAGAGCCTTGAAATGTCTTTCCACCGTGAAAAGCACAGAAAGAAACAGAGTAAGGCAATTAATAGCTCTCGTCTCAGTTGTAGGGAGAGAGAGAGGGGGTGGAGAGGGAGAGAGAGTGGTCCAGTTTTTCATCGCACACTAAACAGCACAGATTTTTATATACTAATCCCAACAAACTTCTCTCTCCACCCTTATCTAATCTCTCTCTCTGTGAGTGAAGAACGAGAAAAACTGATAGAAAGTTCATCAGCTTTGGCACCAAAGACTGCATCTTTACGGACAGACAGTACCATCTTCCCTCACCAAGACATCATTTTCCGGGAAAATGTACTGACTCTCTTCCATTTTCCGGGGAAATTCGCCAAAACGAATTGTGGGTTGTGCTTAAAATTCCTTCTCCAACAATGGGTAATCGATTTATTTGCATGTTAAAGAAGGACACCAAAGAAACTGGATCGAGAAGCAAGAGAATGAGTCGCTCGCAGAGGAAACTGGCGGCGGAGGAAGACTTGTTGCACAGGCAAGCTCTGTCTAGGGTTCTCCATCAGCACCAAATGTCTCAGAGGTTTGACGGATCCATGTCTAGGAGGGTTGGGGGGTCCACAAGCTCCAGGAGACTCGCTCTCTCTGATCCATTATCTAATGGGAAGCAGGTTGATTTCCACTTTTTACTTTTTCATGATTTTGAATTTTTGATCTGTGATGAAAAGGGTGTTTTCATGATTTGATTTAATCAGCTTTTGGTTAAAGCTAAAAAGTGCTTAATCATATATGAAATGAACAGTAAGTTCAAGGAATAAGTGGCAAAAGGAGGGAATTATTCTACTGCGTTGCTATGATGGCTTGAAAAGTGCTTATTAATAGTAGGTCTCTTCTATGTGGATTGTGCTCTCAAGTTGCAACTTTATTATTCTACTGTTTTGCTTTACCTAGAAGAAAAAGTGCTTTTCAAGACTCTCACTTTCCCTTGAGAACCATGTAACTTTTACTTTGAATCCCTTGATTAGCTAGTTTAGAGCAGCGCATTTATGTTATCTAACCTAAATTAATTGCACTAAATGTGATTAGTCTGCTAAAGCCCGGGGGAACTCGAACAAAGTATTGAGGTCCTTCCAATGTGGAGCGTATTGGACCAATTGAGTCCTTTCTTCTTCCGCAAAGTTGCTAGCGCCATTCTGTTAAACAATGGTACATCCCTTTTCAGGAGAGCCAGATCTTTCCATAAAAAAACAGAAAGCAGTTGTTGTATATATACGTTTATATTTGGATTGAAGCTGTCCTAAAAGATTTGTCTGTATGTCCTGGGAACGTTGTTAAGCAAGATTCTGGAGGCATCTTTTTATAAGTTTTGTGTCCTCTGTATGATGTAATTTAGGTTTTGTCTGAACGTGTACTTACTGAACACTGAGAATAGATTGTCTGTATTTGAAATTTTTGATAACCTTGACATCATCTGGTTTTAAATTATGTCATAACTGTTTATGTTTTGGTTAGTGGGTTTCAAAATTTGCACCGGGTAAGATATTCCATTAATGTACACTTATCTTCTTCTAGAACACAATAATGCATAACATGGTTTTTTAACAAGTCTCAACGTCCATAAAACTTTTGCCTTCCTGCTGTTCGTTTCTTTTGGTTTCCCGCCTGCTTCCTTTTCTATTTTATACAGTCAAGAAACTTTTACCATAGCAATTGGTTACCACCAGGATGTGGTCATGCACCAATTCATGTTCATCCTCCCTTGAATTGTTGGCATGATTACTGATTCATTATATTTTACAGGGACCGGAATTTTTGGAGAAGCTTACATCAAAAAAGTTTATTCTTGTACATGGAGAAGGATTTGGGGCATGGTGTTGGTACAAAACAATTGCTTTACTAGAGGAAGCAGGATTGCTTCCGATCACTTTGATCTCAAGGGTTCTGGTATTGATCTCACAGATACGAACTCTGTAACTACACTGGAAGAGTATTCAAAGCCATTGATTGACAATCTACAAAATCTTCCAGAGGATGAAAAGGTACAAGCTGATATGTTATTCATTCTGTCACTCTAAGCATGTAATATATTGTCAAATCTTCAATGCATATTACTTTTGTCCAGGTCATCTTAGTTGGTCACAGTAGTGGGGGTGCCTGCGTATCTTATGCAATGGAGCACTTCTCGCAGAAAATTTCAAAAGCATGTTTTCATCTGTGCTACTATGGTGTCTGATGGGCAGAGACCTTTTGATGTGTTTGCTGCAGAGGTAAAATAGTTAAATATAAACCAGTTCAGGCTAAGATCAGCTAAGCTTTTGTTGTGCATTGCCTGAAAATTATAACGATTCTGCATATGCCCCGACTACTTCTCAAAAACACCACATACTTCCATTTTTCACAAATTCCAAGCTGTTGCAACTATTTCGTCCCATCATGTGCATTGAACGTTATATTGTTGAGAATTATTGAATCCATCCAGAAAACTTACTTGCATAAAACTTTGAATTGAACTAACGAGCTTCTAGTGAATCTGTTGCGTGTGGTGTCTCTGTAAAATTGTAAATACATATATGATAATGTTGTCTTGTTAGACGTAATAACACGTTAGGCTGTCAGAATGTCAATCAGACCCGACAGCTTGCACATGCTCTGTATAAATGTGGAGCCTCACACACTGAAGAGGATGTTTGCATCCTTTCACCTTTGTTCTAGAAAAATTATCTTTACATTCCTATGAGTGATGAAGGTTATTCAAGTAACTTAGGAAAAAACTATTTTCCTTTTCAAGGAAGCCATTTTCTTCTCCTTACTGGCATGTTGCCTGCTCTATCCTTCTGTAGCAAGCTTGCCTCTTTCTCATGGGTTAAATAAATTATTTGTGCATTTCAATCTTTTCATTTACCCATTCCAGGAGGTATTTACTTCTAAATTTCGCGTTGGGGGTGCAGTTCACTTAAACAGCTTCATTTCTTAATTCTTTCTGATTTCATGTTCTCAAGAAGGAAATCTGTATTGCAGCTTGGTTCCGCAGAACAATTTATGCAAGGATCAAAGTTTTTGATTCATGGGAATGGGAAAGAAAAGCCTCCTACAGGATTCATGTTTGAGAAAGAGCAGATGAAAGGGTTATACTTCAACCAATCTAATGCGAAGGTATGTTACAACTTAAGCAGTCTATCTTTTCGAGGTTTTTATTCTCTTGGTAATTTTTTCTCATAGTAAACGGCATTTGCTTAAGCTTGGAAGAGATGTTTGGTGCTAGTGCTAGATCTTGTTCTGTGGTAGTCTAGAACAGAAAGAGAAGAGACGAAAATTCTCTGATTCATTAAGGGTAGATAGTTCTTTCCTTACATACCTTAGTTTTCACGTAGTCCATTGTAATCTCGTGTTTATATGTGGTTCAGTTACAGTGAATCAATACTTTATGGCACGATCATATAAGCGAGTCTTGTTAATACTTGATAAGTATTTCGTTGGTGCTTTGATGATACTTATCTTGGAATCACTTTGAGTATTAGAAGATGAGCTGTCCTCTTTGCCTAGGATATTTTAAAGTAAAACCATGTGAAGGGTTTATAAAATAATAGCATAACTTACTGTCTCAAATCTTTTTCCTGATCAGCATTTATTATGCCTCACAGATGTAACTGGTGGTCACTTTTGAAAGCCAAGTCCTAAATAATAAATCCACTTTTCATGAAGTGCTACCTTATTTTAAAACACACACACAAGTGAACACGAACGTAAGCATACAGGCACACACATTCACACAAGCATGTATTCGTATTTTCAGACTCTAGCTAGACACTCCGGGTTTAAAAGTTGAACTTTTACCCTCATTTTTTTTTTCTAGCAAACAAACTGTTTTAATTTGTGCTGATTTTTTACGGTTATTTACTTGTGCACTTGAGTCCTTTTTCTGTGAGAACAACGTATAACGATCAGTCTGCTTATGTGTTAAGACAATAAGATCAGCTATAAGTTGTGTGGCTTTACTGGAGTTTCTTTACCGTGGTTGAATCTTATACGAAATTTTGTTTTTGTAAGTTGATTTAACCTACCATTACATTATTTATATGGTAACTTAATTCATTTCCAGGATGTTGCTCTGGCCATGGTTTCCATGAGACCTATCCCACTAGGTCCGATCATGGAAAAACTGTCATTGACACCTGAAAATTATGGTTCTAGCCGGCGATTCTTCATTCAAACATTGGATGATCGGGCGCTTTCATCAGACGTCCAAGAAAAGCTAGTGAGGGAGAACCCACCGGAGGGAGTGTACAGGATAAAAGGGAGTGACCACTGCCCGTTCTTCTCAAAGCCGCAATCATTGCACAAAATGTTGTTGGAAATTGCTCAAATTCCATAGCTTCTTCATAAAATTCACAAATGGGATTTCCTTTAATTTTACATTCCAGTTACAGAACAAAACATAGATGATTGCGTAGTTCTCCGGCGTGGAAGGCCACGGTTGTATGTAGAACACGGTTGGTCGAGTTGTCCAATTTCTTTTTAATTAGCATATAGATGAAATGATATTCTCTGGTTTATTTTTTAGAAAAAGAAATCTCATGCTGTAAGATTTAAATTGAACGGTCCAGATTGTTCGGTTCGAGAGCTCCGGATTGTGTGATCCAGAGAGTCTCACTCCAATTTGTACGGTTCATCTTATCATCTTTGAACATCTTTGCAATATTCTAACGGAAGATGTAAATTAATGCTTCCATTAGTCTTTAATAAAATTTATATGGCTGTGGACAAATAGAATACTAATCTTAGAGGTATTGATTAGCTTTTCAACATTTTTTATATTACAACTGACCAATTAGGCTCAGAGAAAGATCGTCTCATCTCGATAAGTTTGGCAAATTTAAGTCTCGTGATATTTCTCTTCTCAATGTGACTTCCTGTTTCCTAACGGAACAGCAATGCTAAAGTTAAGCTTGACAAGTAAGTAACCAAGGAACAAATAAATGAAGGTACTGTTTACTGTTAACAACCAATAAAACAACAAAATTAGTCTAAAAGCGCCAAACCACAGCACATTTCTCTTCACGAAAATATTGCTTATTACATGGTACACCGTTCATCGTCATCGTTTTGGTACATAGAGGTGGAGGTTCTTATACTCCTTACTAGTCCGCCAAGTACACACAAGAATCGAACTTGACGAGCATTTTAGCGTTATGAAATTCGTCACGAATTAAACTATACACATGACATAACGATAAAGTCGTACACTGAAGATAAAAAAGTTAACCATCTCTCAAACTTTTGTTATGTTTGCAAGGCTTGTAACTTGAAGCGTGCCGCAATCCTTCCATCCGGCACAAATTGGACAATTTGGTCTAGAATCCCCAAAATGTAAATAAATAAATTCATGTGAGATTGCAACCCAGGATTAAGAACCAGTTCAATCTAATAGCAAGCGGACATACCGTAATTTGGCCCGAACAAAACTCCCCTTTTAGGTATGCCGCCCTTTTCATGATGTCTTTAGTGGAGGCCTTAAGCCACGATTACGGAGATGATCGCCTTTAACGTATGAGGAATTAGTGTTCTGACTGAATGACATAATCTGTTTTCAACAGAATAACCAACCATTATAATCTACCAAATCATACCCGCAAACAATCGGGATTAGGTCATTGTTCATCACAAATAAGCTACAGAAGCTTGGTTGAAAACAACTCCACACCGATGAGCGGTTTCAAAACAGTCATAAATTATGTACTTGATCTGATACTTGAAATTAACAGCAGAAAAGTCTACTGCAATTTCCTTTTCTGTACAAGTGCAGGAAAAGTTAAAAAGGTAAAACAAAGAAGGAAACTAAAGATGTAAGTAATCAAGGACGTACCAGCCTTGGATGTTCTAAGAACCTGAGGATGATTTCTGAACCCACACTTGTTTCTGCTAGTGAACAGCGAAACATTCCAACTACTTTCAGATAAAAGGAAGACTAAATAAAAATAATACGGTAATCAACATGGCAAGAGCGATGCATACCTCAGGGGTACCTTGAACAGAAGCACCTCTTTTAGATGGCTTCCCCTCACCTACATTTACAGAACCGTCATCTTTCATATTATGGGCACTTCCATGGCGACCAAAATGTCTATGTGAACCTAGACAAAGTATAAAAGTTGGTTTAGCAGAAGATGCACAAGTGATATTTTAAAAATATAAACAAATAGATGACATGCGATAAGTTCAGAGTTGCTAGTATCTTGGCTTTGAAGATTTAACTAACCATTGTCTACATGAGAACTATTACGTCCACTTGTAGGGTTTATAACTTCCCCAGTCCTGCTTCCATAAGAAGAGTCGTCCTTCCCTTCTCCATGACCTAGAAAATCTTGCACCGATAGTGAGATTCATGCATTGAGATTTGACTCAGGAATGATTTAATACTAAACTCATGTTCTCAAAGTAGATCATCTAAAGACTCACAAACACCTGAGCATCCATGCACAGGAACAACCCTTACCTTCAAAGGAATCATATATTAATTGAGGGCGTTGTACCCCGGAGGATGGCAAATGCTCATCACTAGCACGTGAACTATCAGCACGACGAAGAGGAGCCCAAACACCACGATCAGGTCTATCCTTGTTTCGTGTATTTTTTTCCTGCCTCTCACTAACACTAGTTGTACTATGCAGGTCCTTTTTGGTAAATCTATCAACTGTTGCCCTCTTTCTATTCCCTTCAGAGCTCATTGAGTTAAGCTCATTAGTAGAGACTTGACCATTCAGCCCTAACTTTGCATTGGAAGGTCGAGATACTTGCTTAACATCTGAATTCAGACTTTGAATTTTCTGCTGAGGCTGAGTTTCAGTTGAAGTTTGACTTTGGCGTCCCTCATTATTTAAAAGTATGCTTCTGATCATTCTTCCAGGAGCCTCACGCCTTTGGTTCTGCTTCGGAGCATGTGAAACAGGAGAACTTCCAAGTTGTGACATACCCTCAGCCTGGGGAAAATTAAAAAGACCATCACAACTAATTCAAAATTATAAAAACTTAAAGACTGGCAAAATAATAGATAATGTCCATGTGATAAATGAAAAAATAGTATAAATATCCGAAACAGAGAGTCAAATAGGAAGGCAACTAAAAAAAACTGAGATCTTACAGGAGGTATTTCACGCTCTTTCCCTTTAATAAGTAAGATTTTCTTCTTTCCAGAGTCAGAAATCACAGGGATTCCTGAAACAGAACCTTCATTGATGAAAAATTTAATTTAGCAAACGTAAAAACACAGCAGAAAGATACGAGAAATTACGGGCATATATTTTTTCTTTGTAGTATCTAGTTTGGTGTCTAAAGAAGATTGAAAGTTCATTCTCCCAAAATTTCAGTCAAGTGAAAACATTAACTAAATTAAAATTTGACTACAAGACAGTACCACTTTAATCACAAAAATGATTAACTTGCATAATGCTCTCAATTAACGACAGACTCTAATGATGACCTAAAATAAGGTGGGGGAAACCTTTTTTTTCAGTTTTTTTTCTTAAGCAATTATTTCGTAGTATACTTTTGCACCAAATGGAAACTTCAATTACATGATATACTTTTCATTCTACAGAGCTATCAAACTATTATTTAGTTTAGGCCTGTTCAAACTTACAATCAGCAATAAACACAACAATACTCGGTGGTAATTGGGAAAGTATCGTCAAGAAAAATACATGGAAGAGTAGTAACAGAAATTTGGGACATTTTGGAAAGGAGGCAAGTGGGGATTCAAAGGGAGCACATCATCTCAAACTAGGGCTGTCAGTGGCTTCAACTCAGCATGGATCAAGTATGAAGAGAAGTCTATATTTCAGCCAGGTCACTACTAGAGTAATATCCAAAATAAAGCAAAGTCCAACAAAAATATCAACTTTCAATGTTTTGAAACACTGTTTTCATCTAAGAAAATGATTGCTCACATAAGGTTTCATTTAAATACGTAACACTTCTTCATTTAATATTTAAAATCAAATTCAGATCTAATCTAACCTAACGGTTCGAATCACCTTCACCGAATCCTAAATTTGACCAAACAATAATTGGATTCAGAATCAAATTCAAGTTTGAACCATCAGACTTTTTTCCGTAAGATATTTGAACCTAATTGTATTCAACTAATCTTTGTTCTGACTATTGACAGCCCTATCTAAACTAATACAGTAACATTATGACATGTGACTAACCACTGAGGAAATTTGTGATTAGGTATTACTTCACACACTAATCGCATACATGAGATATTATTGCTTGCAACCAAATGATACTGGAAAGAGTGGCCAATTCCGAATTAAATTAGAGGCAGAAATTCCTTCATGCACATAATAATCAGCCCACCTTGAGCAATTGTTTAAAATTGAAAACATCTCCTACAAATAGAAACAACAAACACCAACAGAAGAAGAAAAAAAAAAAACACCAACAGAAAAAAAAAACACCGAGTACCAATTTCATTTTCTAATGTTTCTTTTCCACTTGAACGAGCCAACTGATCCTCTCGCCTGGGTACCACATTGAAAGTGGACTTGTCCCTTCGACTTGTCTGTTTAGTACCGTCCTTTATTATGTACTGTGTCAATCAAAAAGGTAATTTACAATTCTGTTACTTTCCATACACAGACATATGTGGTACATGTCACAAGGTAAAATAGAAGAAGGGGTAAACATAAATAAAAAAGAACAAAGAGTCAAGAGCATATTTTGCCTCCGCAAGGAGAAATCATAACTGAAAGGAAAGGTCTATTGACAAAAGATGCCTCAAAACCTCTCTTTACATGTGATTGTGAACATACTCTACCGAAACTAAAAGCATGAGAAACCTCTCCCCCCAATACCACAAAACATATTTTGCAAGTTAAAATAAATTTGAGAATCAATTTAAAATATACATATAATGGCGGCACATGCCTTTTTCTTCTCAGAGACCCGTTTTGTAGAAGGTGAGCCACGTTTGCTAACAGAGGCAGCCCCGACTCTTCTTCTAACCTTCCGAACAACGGATGAAACCTATTATCAAACAAAAAACTCAATACCTCAAAAGAAATGTAGATGAAAATTATAAACTAGGATGTACCTGGAGAAAGGAAAAGAATTACGTTTCACCTTAATACCTTATAAACTAGGATGTACAAAAATAAATTTTATATAAGATTCTACCATAGTAAAGGAACTCCGGTAAAGCCACAAAACTTATCTCTTATTGTCTAACATATTAGCAGACTGATCGTTATAGGTTGTTCGCAGAGAAAAGGGACTCAAGTGCACATGTAAATAAACCGTACAAAATCAGGACAGCTTAAAACATTCTGTTCGCTAGAAAAAATAATGAGGGTAAAAGTATAACTTTTTAAACAGAGTATCTAGCTAGAGTCTGAAAATATGAATATGTGCTTATGCGGATGCGCATGACTATGCTTACTTTCATGTGCGTTTGTGTGTCTGTTTTAAAATAAGGTAGCCCTTCATGGAAAGTGGATTTATTATTGGATAGTAAATGATGAATTTTATTATTCAAGACTCAGCTTTCAAAAGTGACTAGGTACATCTGTGAGGCATAATAAATGCTGATCTGGAAAAGATTTGAGACAGTGAGTTATGCTATTATTTTATAGGGTAAAGTAGATAAAAGACAGCCCAAGAGACACCATATATCAAATTCTGACCATAACAGAACTCCAGACTACCATTGTGTGCTCCAGAGCTCTATCTTAATTTAACTATACATATATTCAGACGCAAGTGAAGGTTTTCATGGATAGAAAGTACAAATAAAAAGACCCTTGCATATTAGGTAAATAGGCAGATAAATAAAAGTAGGGAGTCAACTTCTTTTCTTAATTGGGTAATTTTATAATGTCCTCAAAGCAATATTATTATTATTATTATTTTTCCTGGTACTGAAGCGATAAGTTGAGAAAACTACAAGGAAACGTAGTCTATTTATTATTTAGGGCTGTGTAATGTATTTTCAACACAAGGACACATAGAAAAACAGTTGTAGTGCCATTACCTGAGTCCCACTTCCAACAGCTCGTTTCTGACGAACATACTCCATGAGGGGTGTAACAATAGGAGCTTCTTTTGCACCACCTAACAAAATAACAGAGAAATAGTGTCAAATCTTGAGAAAACTAACTCGTATTGATATAACCAAAAAGAAGAGGGGAAACTTTCTGGACTACCAAAATATTATGCAAGTACTAAGAAAACACACATACATAATGTCAGTAAATGCATAACTAACCAGCTTGTTCTGCTTCCTTTCTCTCCAGCTGTATTTCTGCACTAGGAAGATGCTCGACAGGCATTGCAATAAGTTTGAGGAACTCCAAATAATCAGGATCTACATTCGTCAAGTATGTTGCAGTTAGTTGAATAAGTCAGGTCAGATCAAGTCAGTCTACGCCTTTTTTTTTTTTGGGGGGGGGGGGGGGGTGGGAACTAAAATGAAAGGTAGTTTTTTACTTTTAATTCTACTTATTCTTCAACTTCTCTTCATTGCCTCTCTCATTTCCATTTTATGCCTCTTCGTTCTCTACTCGTTATTTCCTCTTTATTCAGAAAATAAAATTTTTATCAAACTAGTCCTAACGTAGCACCTTTATATATGGTCCCTTCACGGCCATCCTTTTTCGTACTAGGTTTTGGAACACGCTGTGAGGGTGCATATTCAACTATAGCCTTGAATTGAGCCCCTGGAAAGAAAAAAATAATTAGTTTCAAACTTTCAAGCCAAGCTTCAAATATAATATAGGACTGAAATTCTAACACCAAGGTGGACATATTCTTTTATATTGCAAGGATCAAGCAAAATCTCTCTCTCTCTCTCTCTCTCTCTCTCTCAGGTTACAAAGAAAATTTGGATACATCAATATCACACAAAGTCATTAAAACAAGGTTCTAACTAAAGCCAAAAAACAGAAACATTCGTACATATGAATATACCATGGTAGATAAACATATTTCCAGTGTTCATTACCCTTCTCATTGACAAACATGTGTCCATCAAAGAATTCAGCAAACTCAAAAACATCTTCAGGTCGCTTGAAATCTATGTAGGCCCGAGAATACCTCTGGTTCTTCTGGCTGCAACATTATTTCAAAAGAAAACTATTTAAATGAGAAAATTTCCTTATTCTCCATTTCTTTGCCAAGAAACGAATTGGACAACACAGAGTCTTGCAAAACCAAACTTCCCCATCAATCATGAGTTCCACAAACATGTGAATCCACCAAAATTGATAAATCAATCTGGCTACTCAAAGCAAAACTTATTAAAGTAAAAATGAAAAATTCAAATATATACGGTTTCGTTCTTGCCCAACAACTGTTTTTACAACTGAGAACAAAACCACGTCTATCTATCGACATTAGAACAAGTACAGGAGTAGGAACTGCATGGGGAACTCATTACCTATAGAACCCCATAACATCTACAAAATTGATTTCCTCTTGTTTTCAGCGCGGTCACAGACCAAAGCTCAGCACAGAATTTATTCAAATAACAAATTATGGGTATACAAACTCAACAAATAAATAATTAGCCATTCTAAAATGCAAAAACAAAAACATATTTGTATAAAAATTTATCCTTTTCTCTTTCCCCTTAAGTAACAAAGAAACAAACATATCTCTTTCCCCTTAATGTAACAAGTTCAATTTCCCCAAGCCACCAAAAAAGGGTCAAGAAATGCATTCCCGAAGTATTTTTATTTGCTTTTAATATCAAAACCAAAATCCAAAATTTGCACAAAAATGAATAATCACTTACAATGCTACAAAAAATGCCACATAAACAGCTCCAGTTAGTGGGATAAGGGAAGACATGGCGCAAAACCGAGATAAGGCTTGATTATTGTTGTTGTATAAACGGCTCCAATTAAAAATAAATAAATGAAAGAAATCCCCATTCGAATTGAAATTACAATCCTAAACCTAATTTTTCTACGAAACAGTAAGAATAAGAAAAAAATGATTGAAACCCCAAAGGAATTGAAAAGGCATAACCTATTCTTTCCTGGACGGAAGCAGAGCCAGTTGTAGCGGTCGGCGAGCTGGTGGTCGATTTGGTGGAGGAGATCGGACTGAGACAGAGACGGAGGCAAGTGCCGAATTAACACCTTCGTCCTCACCAATGGCTCCTTCATCTTCTTTTTTTTGTCTTCTGATTTTAATTTTTTCAATCTGCCTGCCCTCCTACTCCTTTCCCTTCTTCTTTCTACCCGCCTCCCTCCCCGCTTTCTTTTAGAGGTATTGTCCGTTTGCTCCGAATTCCTGGACCTGCTAATTTTCTTAATTTTAATTTATTACTTCTGACTTTTGTAATTGGTAAATTTTTTTCCGAACTTTAATTTTAGTCTCATTTTTTTAAAAATTTTATAAATAACTAATTTCTCTTTTAGCGTTTTAGATTGGGTTCAGGTCATTTTTAATCGAAGGTTGGCCAGATGATTCGTTTTAGTTTTTTGATTTTTCAAGAAATTAATATTTTAATGAACAATGCATGGACTCTTACCATCTCCAACCGAGGGTCAAAGGATCATAGGATTCGTTTTAGCTCTGTCACAAAAAACTGTCTCAAACCGAGGGCCAAAAGGGTATAGTATGAAATGTGAAAAATTGAAATAAAATGAGATAAGATAGTATGAAATGATGAAAAATATGTGAAAAATGGTGTAGAAAAAAATTAATAATTAAAAAAAGAAAAGAAAAAGGCTACTGGTATAAAAACAAAAAGTGGGCTGAGACCATAAAAATAAACTAAGCCCTAAACCCTAAAGTGGGCTGGGCGGTGGAAAAAAACCCAAAAAAAATACAACGGATGGGCTAACGGAAAAGAAACAAAAAAAAAAAAAAATTTTGAAATTGGGCTAGCTGCCTGAAAGTGGCTAGCCGGTTGACCTTAGGCCATTTTTTGTCTAATGGGGTTCATAAGCTCTTTGAGTTGACCCTAGGTTGGAGACTGTTTTTGGACTATTTTCAACCTTCTGGCTCCTTTCGGAAAAGATGGCCTCTAAGAAGCAAAGCCCAGGAAATTGGGCCAGTAACTAGTGTAGAAGGTCCAACCCAACTCCAGAACACGAGCAAGTGCGAAAGACTTTGTGTATACTTATTTGGCGGAAGAGATCGGACTGAGACAGAGACGGAGGCAAGTGCCGAATTAACACCTTCGTCCTCACCAATGGCTCCTTCGTCTTCTTTTTTTCTCTTCTGATTATAATTTTTTTTCAATCTGCCTGCCCTCCTACTTCTCCTTTTCCTTCTTCTTTCTACCCTCCTCCCTCCCTGCTTTCTTTTAGAGGCATTGTCCGTTTACTCCAATTACCTATAGCTGCCAATTTTCTCGCTAAACTTAATTTTAATTGATTATTTCTGACTTTTATAATTGCTAAATTTGTTTCCAATCTGTAATTTTAGTCTCATTTTTAATTTTTTTTAATTTTTTTATAAATAACTAATTTCTCCCAGTGTTGGAGATTGGGTTCATCTGAGAAGCAAAGCCCAGGAAATTGGCCCAGTAACTAGTGTAGAAGGTCCAACCCAACTCCGGAACATGAGCAACTAGGATGTGAGAAAGACTTTGTGTACACTTATTTTATTTTTATTATTTTAGTATTATTATTATTATTATTATTATTATAAAATATAGAGTTTGAAACTATATTTAGAAGATGAAGAAGTTTTGAATCGGAGCGCATGGGTAGAAACGTAATGTGACATCCCACATCGTTCAGGGGAGTGATATTTATATGTATATTCCCATTCCTATCTAGCATAAGGCCTTTTGGGAACTCACTGGCTTCGGGTTCCGTAGGAGCTCCGAAGTTAAGCGAGAAGAGGTCTAGAGCAATCCCATGATGGGTGACCCACTGGGAAGTTGTTCGTGAGTTCCCAAAAACAAAACGGTGAGGGAATGGTAAGCCCAAAGCGGACAATATCGTGCTACGGTGGTGGGACGGGCCCGGAAAGTGGTCCTGCCCGGGGCGGGATGTGACATGTAAAACCCCATCAGTTAAGATATTGAACACTGTTTATTATTAAACGTAAAACCCTATCCATTAAGATATTGAACACTGTTTAATATTAGGGGAGAAAGAAGAGTTCGAAACTGTTATATGTACGTGTACACTATTTATGGTGGGTTTCATGTAAATGAAATAAATATATGTGTAAATTTTTATTTATAAATCACTTTTATGTTAATAAAGATGCTATATAATAGTGTATTCGTATTATGTAAATTGTTCTCTTTAGATAAAGACGGTGCTGTAGTCTTTAGATGTGTAAAACTCTATTTGCATGACAACTCATATGTGATTTACCTGTTTGAAGATATTTTTTTCTTGCGAAGATTATTTTCTCTTCCTCTTTCTTGTAAAATTGGCCGCAACACAAATTAAAAATCTGAAAAACAATGGACAAAAAACAAATCCCAATAAACATGGAAACGATAGGTGCAATCTCGGCCGTTGATTGTAATTTTAGCGGGCCCCACAAACGCCAAGGGTCCCTATACAAAACATGCGATAATAACTACAAGTAAACAAGACTTGGGGAACTTATCGTCTCCCCCACCGCGTCCGCGACTGCGACTGCGACTCTACTCTTTTCCTTTGCAAGTAAGTCATCTCCCAATTCCTAATCCCTTTAACAAATTCTTCTTCTCTTCGAACCAAATTTCTACTTTTTGTTTGGTTTCCGGGAAAATCCAGGTTTACGCTTTCTGCTTGTTTTGCCTCTCTGCGCCAGGTCGAGACTTTGCAAGTGATTCTACTTATTCGTGCATTATTGGGGGCTTTCGTTTTCCCGGAAAATCCCAAGTATTTCTGCTTCTGATCTGTGTTCTTAGCGTATTTAGCTGATTCAGGTTTTGGACTTGATTAATTGTTTCTTATTTTGTTGACTGGGAGTTATCTAGCTTTAATTGCGATGATTATGATTAAATATATTAGATTTACTTTGAAGATTGCAGTACTTGATGATCGTTTGCTTAATTTGCTAGATGTATTCGTACAAATTTGTTTGCTTCTGTTTGGTTCCTATGCTATGTTTAGTGGTTGGAAATTGTTTTAAATGGAATTAATAGTGATATGTGAAGCATAATCAGCCTTTGTATTAGCCGAAATTAGAACATCGGGTCGGTGTTTCAGTTGTTTTTAATTTATTTATTTGGGACTTCGTATAATTTGCTACATGTATTCGTACAATTTGTTTGCTTCTGTCTTGGTTCCTATGCTATGTTTAGTGGTTGGAATTTTTTTTTTTTAAATGGAATTAATATTGATAGTTGAAGCATAATCAGCCTTGTATTAGCCGAAATAGAAGAGCGAAATTAGAACTTCGGGTTGGTGTTTCAGTTGTAGTTTTTAATTATTTATTTGGGACTCCCTATAATTGTTCGAAAATCGTGTTATGTTTGTTTGTTTAATTACTTCGAAACGATTTTAACTTAATGGAATGTCTTGCCGGTCCATGGAAATACGTGTGGCTTTTGGGTGCTGAGAAAGTTTACATTCAAAAGGGAAACAATTCGTTGACCATGTTTCGAAATCACTATCTTCTGCTCAGAATAAAAAACGATGTATTGAATTAAAGGTCATTCGCATAATTTTTTTTTTCTATCAAAGAACGGAGATATGACTTCTGAGTTTTGGAATTGTGGTTACATGAAATAGGGATTCATTTATGCAGTGGGTGTGTCGTAAACATTTTTCTATTGGTTCAAACGTGATTTTTTTCATTGCACATTTATGCCTTATGTGATGCATACATTTTTTCCTATATATACTAACATAACTAGATGCCAGCTCAGGTTTCCTGATTTATATAATGGGTGGAAGTTCGATTGATGATGACTGGGAGCTTGCTTCACTGTCTAGTGCTGTTCGCACTATGGTCTTAGTTGGACGTACTGGTAATGGAAAAAGTGCAACGGGAAACAGTATTCTTGGAAGAAAGGCCTTCAAGTCCAGGACAAGCTCCTCTGGTGTTACCAGTACTTGTGAATTGGAGAAAACTGTATTGAGAGATGGACAAGTCGTAAATGTTATAGACACTCCTGGTATAATCTTGCTAATTTGTATTCTTTGTACATTCAATCTGAATATATAAATTCTGTCCATTTCTTGGAATAGAGAGATAGATGGATAGGGTAGTTGCATCAATGAATTTAGTTTTCAAAAGCTAATCTTTCTCCCTGTGTTGACTTGTGTGGCACACCACTGCAGGTCTTTTTGATTTTTCTGCAAAGTCGGACTTTGTTGGCAAAGAAATTGTCAGATGCATTGATTTGGCGAAAGATGGAATCCATGCTGTGGTTGTAGTTTTCTCAGTTAGGACTCGCTTTTCACAAGAAGAAGAAGCTGCATTGCGTAGCTTGCAAACTTTGTTTGGAAGCAAAATTATTGATTATATGATTGTGGTCTTTACTGGGGGAGATGATCTTGAAGACAATGATGAGACCTTGGATGACTATTTGGGCCGTGAATGCCCAGAACCTTTAAAGGTTATTCACCAACTTTTAATCTTGTTATTTAACTTTTTGCTTCTTTTGTTTCGTTTGTATAAACTATTATGTTATCTTCACCATTAGTTTTTTATTTTATTTTTTTTTTTTTGCATTTCTTCCAGAATTGATTTTCCTTTTATTTGATATATATCAACAGGGTTGTGCTTATTACTTCCACCTAGTTCTATGATTATCTGGAATTATTTGCTACATAACTTGAATTACTTCACATTATTAAAGTTTTGTGTAGAAACATGAAGTCAAGTTAAAAACCTGTTAAACCCACCCCTATGCTCATAATGGTTTTCCATTTCCTTCATTCTGGATGACCATTCATTTCCTCATAAGCTTACATCATCCTTATTTAAGACAGTAAGAGCCGGACTTCCCGTCTTATTTTATTGGGACAGTTTTCAGTAACTTCATTTTCAGCACGTCCATGAAATCAGCGGCTCCATTTTTGTATTTAAAAATGGACTCTGTCATTGATCATGTCTTTTTCTTTGATACCTTCTCTTCAAATGTCTAGTGTGCTGGAGATCAAAGATTATTGTTTATTAGTAAGCATGGTATAATGGATGATGGATTTTCACTATAGTAGTAGATACAGGAGAAAACGTCAGCCCAACCTAGATTAGGGAAAACTCTATCAATCCTCGCCCAAACAAGGCCCTATCCTCTTTCTTCTTCAACCATGCCTGAATCAGGGCTTATTATAGTTTGTATTTACGTTTTAATGTATGGTTTGCAACTACATACGTACAATTTCTTATGTAATCCATTACCATCTTGAATACGTGGATGTTATGTATTAAAAGATTAATGAATTCTTGGATTATTGTAGGACATCCTTACTCTGTGTGAAAACCGCTGTGTGCTTTTTGATAATAAGACTAAGGATGAAAGTAAGAGGGTTAAACAAGTCGAGAACCTTCTATCCCTTGTAAACAAGGTCATATCACAAAATGGTGGGCGACCATACACAGATGAGATATTTGCTGAAGTGAAGGTATTTTATTATTTTTATTATTAACTACTTGCTTAAATTGTCTTTTTGTTTGTAAATATCATGATAAAGTTTTCATTGTATCCGACAGAAAGGGGCCATTAAACTTCGTGACCAACAAGAAGAGGTCAACTCCTTGAAGGGGTATTCCAAACGAGAAATATCTGAATTGAAGGATCAGATGCAGCGTGCACATGACGAGCAGCTTAAGCGGATTACTGAGATGGTAACAGATTGCCCTAAGCTTTCACATGCTTTGCTTTTGGATTTAGCTATTGATGTCAATATATTCTTCCAGTTTTCATACTCGGTTAAAACTAGAATACCATGTTTGGTTGCACTCTTTGACAATGATATTGACCACCTCTTGTTCAACCAAGTTTTTTTTTTAATATGTTAGGACCTATTTCTTTCATACCTAAATCACCGTCCCATGTTTTTCATTCTATGGATTGCCTTTGAAAATATTATCACTTGCGAATACCTTGTAGACAAGTTATTGCATATAAGGTTGGGATCAATGAACTCTTGAATGCATTTAGTAGTCAGTCCCGTGGTTGTAGAATACCTTCAGATGAGATTTTGCATAGTTTATTAGTTCTCTCACATAAGTATGGAGATGTACAGTTTTATGCATCATGCTTTACAAAGTTTAGGGATGGCTTCATAAGTTTGCTTTATATTTTCTCATCTGTTTTAATGTTTATGTAGTAGTTTAGGTAGAATGAAATGAGTGGAGTGGTCATCAAGAATTGACATTTAGTATTTGCAGAGTTGGTAGTACAAAAAAGTGTTAACAGTTGGAAATTCCCTTCAAGCCATATCTTCTGATATATAGGACTTTGACATCATATGTTTCTAGTTGACATATCCGGTTTGTATGCTTATGTTCTCGTGATATAACAGAGTATGGAGCATGAAACTGGGATCACCTGACGAGTTTGATAAGAAAAATAATTGAAGAGAGTATTTTTCTGTAAACTACGGAACAGAATTTTTCTGAAGATAACTTTAACTGAATTTTGTCATCGTCTTTTTAGTTTTTGTTGTTTGTGGCAGTTGAAAGATTGGGTGAGAAAGACTATAGGGAGGCTTTACAAAATTGGCCTTTGTGTGGCTTACTGATTAATTGCATTATTATTTCTCTCAGCATTTATGATTTTTGACTAACCATATGTGATTGAAATAAACGTCTATATGCTTGGGCTTACGTTATTTTTTTATTTATTTGAAAGGATCAAATGTTGCATTATTCTTTAGTCCTGAAACATGATGATATTTTACAGGTCGAGTCAAAGTTAAGAGAGACCACTATGAGGCTTGAGCAACAGTTGGCAGATGAACAAGCTGCACGTCTGAGAGCAGAAGAGAATGCTCAACGGGCTCAGCTGAAGTCTGATGATGAAATTCGAAAGCTTCGAGAACATTTAATGAAAGCAGAGGAGGAGCTTCGTAAAAGAGGTGAAACCAAGTGTGTCATTCTATAAACGTAACTTTTGACAAAGATGCGTGGTAAGGAATCAATCTTTCTCCTCGTTTAACTGTTGGTTAATGTGGAGTTTGCTGCAAACTGTTTGCGACAGCGATTGACAATGATTATGGTTTGAACCTTTTATGTAAATAAATTGGTAGGATGCTAAGTTTACTATTTCTGTTTTATACCTATACATATATTTTATATATTTGTCTGCAACTTTGGCTTACAATTTCAGCATATCCTTCAGTTTGCAACTGAAACCACCTTCACACATACCACCCGTTTAGATTTCTTGAATGAGTTAAATCTTTATCTTCGGTTCTCTGTGTTTATTTTACGCAGTTTTAATTGATAGTTTAAGCCAGGAAGGGTTAGACTCCAAGACAATGCGGCCCTTGCATTTTGAACTTACCATAAGATTGACCCTGATCCATTAGAGAATCCTTAGAGTTTCCTTGCCTTGCGAATTTGATTTGTCAATCGAATTTCCGGTGAGGCAAGAGACTTGTAGCGTAAGTGTTAAGCGTAGTTTGTGTGTGTCGTGAGGTATTTGTAGAGAATGGGATACTTGTGGAGATCGAAAGAAGCCATTGTTTTTTTTTTTTTTGAGCAACCAGTGAGGGTATGCGTACGATGGAAAGATGAAAGGAAAAATGAATCGGAGAAAAGAGAACTGAAACTTGGAATAGGAACAAAAAATCACTGACCATAAAAAAGAAAGAAACCAAAAAATCCTTGCCAAAATTTTTGTACCAGAGTCCCAGCTTCTCCTAGCATTTCGCGTCGATTCTCATAACGGTGTCAAACTGTTTGATGTTAAATGTGGAGCCACAAGTGATATATCATTGTTCAACCGAAGTTGGGTTACAACCACACTGGTATCGTTTCCGTTTCTACTAGAAAAATTGTTTGGTTACATTTACAAGAGTTTGAGAGAGTGAAGCATCTAGGGTTACGAGCCTTGTATCAAATTTGGGTGCGGTTGCTCTTTTATAAAATGGGATATGATATCTACACATTTCTTTTTACTTCTCACATATCTTTTTAATTTTCAACCGTTGGATTGGATGAATTGAAGAAGATTAAACATCAAAAATTAACAAATGATATTTAAAAAGTTAAAAAAGATGTGTAGATAGCATATCCTATAAAATAAGAGCAAGCCTCCTTTTCTAACGTACATTCACGTGGGCTAAGAAGTGACACCCAAATTAGGGTACAACAATTGACATGTCGGCAATACAGTTGTCGGCCATGGTAGGACCCACGTCTATTAGAGGGTGAGTTTTCTTTGTCAAAACAAACAATATTATGCTTTAATTTTGTACGAAAAGGTCTGGATTGCAGGCACAATTGGACATTAGAATTGTGCTGTCCGTACATTTTTTTTCACTTACGTACCCTCTTAAATAGTGACAGTAATATGAATGAATTAAAGAAATTAAAAACAATAAGATTGAATGAATTAAAGAAAATAATTAATAAAAATGTGAGAAATAAAAAAAAATGTATGGATAGTACACTTCTAGCCATTATTCTATAATTCAAAGAGTTTCTCTTTGGGGTGATACTTAGCAAAGAGACATGGTGACACTCATTTTATTTGTTTAGAGTGTATTTGATAGTTATTTCGTTTTTATATTTTAGTTTTTGTTTTCATTTATTTTTTAAATGAAAGATTGTTAGGTAGCTTTTAGTTTTCTAAAGTGTGCTTGGTTTTGGTTTTTGAAAATTAAAAAGCTACTTTTTTCAATTTTCACTTTTAAAAAAATTAAAAACTAAAAATAAATAGTCACAAACTTTCAGTCTTGCATTTTTTTAATTTAAATTGAAAACTGCAATGGTTATCAAAATCGATGATAATTGCAAAACTGCATCGTCGTGTAAAGAAACCTTAGTTTTAATTATTGCAGCCAATCAACGGAAGGGGAAAGTTCTGTCGAAGATATAGTAGTACGTGCTAGCATAGATAACACCATGAAAGAAACTGGGAAACCCAGCTACTCATTATCTCATCGTATGTAACGAATAGTTCATCATCACTGCCCTAATTAAGCTAATTAATTAAATTACAAGACATAGTGTAGTAATTATTCTGCGTAGTATTTTAAAAAAAAATTATTCTGGGTAGTACTAGGTACTAAATCCCAAAGTCATATTACAATCCTTACAAATACATAATTAAGCTACTAATTAGAAATCTTGTTGAAAAAGTCAATGTTCGTTCCGAACACATGAGAGAAGATAAATCATCATATTAATATCTCGATATAATTAAGAAGATTGAGGTGACAGAGGTAGCATTTCCTGCATTTGAAGATTCTGCCTCCAAAAAGCTAATTAATTACCTGCACGTAAACACAACAAAATATGAAACTCAAGAGATAAAATTTGTGTTTAATTATTGTTTCTGTACGAATTAAATTACAGGTTAAATTATATTTTATATATATGTATATATATATATATTAGTAATTTAGTGATTACCCAAGATGGAGAATCTTCTTGGTTTGCTGTGGGAAGGTAGCTCCTCCACCCTCAATGATATTCTGGCTAAAGAAATTGCGAGAAGCTAATGCCTGGATTGCATTCATCTCTGGCACAGAAACCATGTTTGCCTGGTGAAGCCTCTCAACTTCTGATATCTGATCGTCGATCCATTGGAAAATTAAACATCGATGTGTATATATCAATAATTTCTGGTTTAATTAGACAGTAAATCTTGGAATATCGTACGTACATTATATTTTTTGAGAAGTTATATAAAACATATATAACTTAGAGTCTGCATGCATATCATTTTTTTTTTTTTGAGTGATTTTAGTGGCTAATTAAACATGTATGTATACACGCACAGATGGGAAAGTACTCACTTCGTCTGATGATTAATTAGTTTCTGCATGCATTTTCATAAAATTAACGTATATGAATACTAATCTCTGCGGTTGCGCATACCTTAGTTCGAAGATAAACATTTTCGTTTTCCAGCTCAATCTCCTACGTACATAACAGAAATAATTGATTATATTTAGAGCATTCACTTCATAGGAAGAGGGCAACTCTTCTTAAATGTAAAAGGTTTACCTTTTTCTGCAAGTACTCAATCTCTGCAATCAGCATTTCATCCTGTTCTCAAGCATCAGATACATACATACCGGGAAATAATTAATTGCAAGATGAACATTGAAGATGGCCAATTACTAAATTGGAAAATACGCGTATGCAGCATTCTTCGGAAGCCATCAAGAATATCGTATAAATCAATTGTTTAATTGAGTGAATTAATTACCTTCTTGGACCTGATTCTAGTCATGCCTCGTTCAAGCTTATTCTCCAGCTGCTTTAGTTCTTTCACAGTCAGATTACTCAAGGCATCTCCCATTAAGTGCCTACAATTAAGCAATCAATATTTTTATTCATCCACTATATATACAATTAAGCGCCTTGAGATGCAAGCTAGGTCAATTCTATAGAGAAGTATACTTTAATTTCAAAACAAATTGATATCTCTAGGTAACTGATGAAATATGTATATAGTTTGGACTATTTTCAAGCAGGTTCATGCGTGAGGTTATAAACAATTGCGATCAAATTAATGTTCCTTTTCCAGTTCAATGCATGTATAAACAAGGAAATATACAGTGGAGTGGATCACCTGTTAGAGTTCTGCAGCATTTGAATCTGTTGCCTCAGTTTTGCCGATTCCTGTTGATAATACTGCATATCAAGACAAAAATGCAGCAAGTATTTCTGTCAATTTGACAAATGACATTATCCAAAGTAAGTTAACCCATTAACCAGACCACAAGATATGTATCAAACTTCAACAGAAAGGTATATGCAAGGACCAAGGTTTATATATATATATATATATATATATATATATATATATGGCGTACCTGAGCATTAATTTCAGTAATAGAAGATGGTCCTGTGCTATCTGAACATGCCTTCTTGTACCTCTCTATGGTGTTTCTTATACTGCTGCAGGTCAAATTTAAATTGTGAATTGTCAATAGGTGATACAGATGTGTAAACTGATCAACTTCTTTTTCAAATAAGTTAATTTCACATGAACCCACAAAAATGATCTAGGAAGGATAAAAAAGAGTTGATGAACCAATAGAATAATTACTCGCACTGTATGGGTTCGTAAATTTTTTAAACATTATAAATATAGAGAGGCAGAGAGAGCTAGATATATATATATATATATATATAAAATTCATGACAATGTATAATTGGAAGTTGTACTTATGTTAGATGAATTTTGAGGGTGTCAACGAAGTTCGGCTTATAGTGAGCTTAAATATTGTAGAACTACATGACTTTTAAGGGGTGATTCTAAATATAAAAAAAGATTATTAGATAGTGTAAACTGCTATTTCATGCCAAATAATGTTTTTCAGCTTTCTTTAGCTAAGGCTATTTACAGTCATGGACGGCTAAAACGTACTTAGCCCTTGCCTACGTTTTAGCCACTCATAAACCAATATTTTAAAGAACATTGTAAGGCTAAGTTTTTCTTTCTCCAATCATACATGGCTAAATTTTTTCATCTTTAAATGGGCATGACTTGGGAAGCACACGTTGGGGCCGCCAAGGGACTTGAGGGCTCGTTATATATACCCTGCCGGGCCTGCCCTTTGTTAAATTTGGATTTGATTCTTTTAGCTGATTCATTTTGGTCCTTTGTTGGATACCCTTGACTGAAGATGACCTAAATACTTATATACGAGCATATTTGGTTTTGTTCAATAAACAGAACTTTTAGTGCAAAAGTAACCTCATGCGATTTCGAGGTGTCAAACATGAAGGGGTGGCTGAAAGCACATATATATATTGGTGAGATGGGACATGAATGAGAGATAGGGCACACTGCCTATGGATAATATATCAGATTAAACAGGAACCACTATATATGCATGGCGTGGCTCTCGAGTCAATTCAATCCCTTTGTGGAGGGCAATGACATATATATGCACAGCAGTGGTCACCACGCAGCCACGCAGATGTCAATTACAAATAAGACACTTTATTTTCTCCCCTACTTTTAGTATTTCTTTTCTCAGCTATATACATAAATATATAAATCACCACTTAATAAAACAAACAATTATTTCGAAAGTTTTTTTAGTTTTAGGGAGAAAAATGTTAATTAAACAAGGAGGTTTTCTCAAACAAATTAGAAATGGGAAGCATAAGAGAAAAAACGTGGACTCTCAAAAAGATAGAAGAATAATTCATAAGAAACGAGTTTACCATTACATAGGTGTAACTCAATTCTATACAAGTCATTATCAAAAGACATACTGCTATTGTAAAATAAATAGTTCAAAAGTGTTGCAATTTTTAATTTGACATAGCTTTAGATCTGTGCTAAAGCAGACAATTTTGACGTTGAAGACGAATAAGACGAAAATTTGACACTGGAAGGCAATTAGGACTTAGGAGGATGTAGGAAGACTTGCATGCATGCAACAAAAGACTAAATGTCAGCACAATTACGTACGGTACGTGTAAAACTCCCCATTCATGCAAAGAAACCCCATTGATCAATGAGCTCTCCAAACTCTTCAATGATCTGTCTGTTTAACCAAAATTTGAACGGTCAGGAATTTATTCCCTGTTTACCTTCACCTTCACCTTCTTCTTCTTCCATTCATCTTCTTCCTTCTTCATCTTCTTCCCTCTTGATCTCCATCTCTCTCTCTCACCAGCTTCATAATTGAAGGATCTAGAGAGGATTCAGATGGTAGAGATCCGGAGAGAATTCCAGTCCAACCCCAAACCTCAAGAGTCAAAAAAGAGTATGGGTGGATCATGGATGGGTCAGTTAACTTGTTCCATATGCATAAACCCCACACATGCAGCAGCATGGCACGTGCATGTTACCCTTGCATGTATTAAAATAGAAACCCTTAAACTAAAACCAAGCACAGAGTTTATTAGAGTTTCATATTCTTTTTTGCGAAGTGGTAAGTAAATATACATATATATGTATATATATTATGAAAGTTTTAACCTTTCAGAGTGAAAACCAAAGTGAAAAGTTGAAGAAGCTTTCTCTTGAATTAGAGTACTGCACAATAGCTAGATAAAGACAAATTGAAGGGTAGTAATGGTTTGAAAGCCAGAAATGGAAAGGGAAGACCATCGACACGGTATCATGATATATGTGATCTCAATGCATGCCACTGCACAGAGAGAGAGAGAGAGAGAGAGAGAGAGAGAGAGAGATTCTAATAGATTTGTAACCCTAAAAATGAAGAAAATGAAGATCAAACACACCCAACAAGTACTGGATTCCTGTGGAACAAAGTAGGTCCAAATTGGTGCAACTGTTTCCTTTTCAATCACTTTTATGTCTTTGAGAAAACTGTGACTACAGTGGTTCACCATATATACAACAGTAACACACACATATATAGAGAGAAAGAGAGCATTAACTTAGATATTTTTCTTTTTAACGCAAACCCACATAGACACATGCAAGCGCTATTTAAGTTGGACTCAACGCTTTCTAAATTATTTTCATAAAATCAAATTTAGTTGGACTCAAAAATTGGGATTTAATAAAGATACAAGAAAAATCTCCAATAATATATAGTTGGACTCAAAATATTTGAACAATCTTTAATTACAACCACTCCTATTTTATCTTGGATATCCTCATTCTTAATCAGGTCCTGTCTTAGATGTATCGCACATGAGAAAGGACATGATTAAGAGCGAGTATATCTGAGGTAAAGTAAGAGTGGCTGCAATTAAAGATATTATGAGAAAAATTGGTTAAGGTGGTTTAGACATGTGAAACGAAGACCTACAAATGCTCCTAGAAAATACAATTATGAGATAGGGGCTTAGGATAAAAGGGGTACATGAAGACCTATGAAGACTTAGAAAGAGATTTTAAGAAAAGAAATAGAGAAACTGGAGCTAACGGAAGACTTCTCAGAAAAACCGAGCTCATGAGTGACGTTGTAGAATTCATACACCTGACCAACTTAGTAGGATAATACTTCTTGTTGTTGCAATTAACTACTTAATCAATGCATGCATGCAAGTGAAGAAAATAAATAATTAATTGATAAGTGAAGTGAAGTGAAGTTAAGGAACAGTTAAGGATGAATTTAGTTATAGGATATTACTTGTTGTTAGAGTACTCGTAGAGACGGCCCCGGCTAGAGAAGACAATGAGGGCAATTTCAGCATCACAGAGAATGGATAGTTCATATGCTTTCTTCAGCAGCCCATTTCTTCGTTTGCAGAAGGTCACTTGCCGATTCGTCGTGTTCTCAATCCTCTTGATTTCAATCTTTCCCCTCCCCATCTTAATATCTAATTACTTTGATCAGATCCAAGAGCGAACCAACCTCCTACCTGTATACATAAAAAGAATTTATACAATATTAATAAATAGGATATATATGGTACTAATTTCGTATAGATCGTTGCAGCATGATTATTAATTAAAATAACAAGAATTAATTCAGAATAAAAGAGAAAGCTAGCATATGTGTGCGCATACATACATATATATTACTAAATGGAAAATAAACTGCTAATTAAATAGAACAAACTGAAAAAATTAAAAAAAAAGAAAAGAAAATCCTCTTTGAGATATCTCCTCCTCTCTCTTCTCAAGCTATCAAAGGGAAAGAGAAATAGTTGCAAAATTAAAATTCAGCAGATTGAACTCTGTGCATACAACGATTAAGGAAGAAATTTTTTTTCTAATAGGGGTTTTATTGGAGAAGATCAAAGACTGAAATTAAGATATTATAAAAGAAAAAGATGATTATCATGGAGAATCGATCGGGTGATGGGATAATATAACGAGTACTGCAGACATCAAGGATTATTGTGTTAGAGACGAAAATAACAAAAGAAAAATAGATCAAGGAAATCAGACAAAAGTATGATAAGAAAAATGGAAATCAGACAAAAAGTTGAGGAGATCTAGAAGAAGTAGATCTCACCGGAAAAGTATGAGGGTTGTAGGCCACTGAAAAAAATCAGCAGTTTGATTAATGCGGAGGCCAAACTAAGATAGAAAAAAGTCCATAAATATTTTACCCAAAAAACAAAAAAAGAAAAGAGTCCAATATATATTAAGCATAGAAAAAAAATGCCCTATACAAACTCTGGTAGCAGAATCTACAACATGCTGAACAAGATTTTGGTAGTCATGGCACCATTAATGGTGCAGTACCCTTTACCGGGAACTCTTTCTTTCTCTCTCTCTCTCTCTCTCTCTCTCTCTCTCTCTCTCTCTCTTAACCATATGAGAAAAAAACAGATCAGTAATATATAGATTACTGAGCTAGCTAGGTTTGTGAGCATGCTGGAAGTTAGCTGAAGAAAACTGGGGCTGAAATCAAATTCAAAGAAAAAAGAAGGAGGTGGTGGTTCTGCAAATTAATTAGAATACACACACACACACACACACATGTTAAATTACACACACACACACACACGTATATATATATATATATATATATATATATATATATATATATATATTGCAAAGCCAAAGGCCTAAATTTATATAAAAACGAAGTCACAGTTATTTTATTCTTGATATCATGTTCAATATGTAAATAAAAAAGTTGACAGAGAAAAGAAAAGAAAGTGAAGAAAGTCAGAAAGATGAAACAACAGACGATATATATTTGGGATCATATATATCAAGAACACTATAAAACCCAGAATTTCTATACAAGATAAAATAAATAAAATAAGAAGACAAGATTAGCTAAATAAAAGTTCGGAAACAAAGATCTAGCTACATATGAAATGCGACACGATGAAAAATAATTAGTATTTGGAAATTAAACAACATAATTATTGTTTTAGTTTTTCCATGGAAAAATGATGAGATGATTTTGTTTAAACATAATGAGCTGAGGGCCTTTACTTTAGGGTTCCACAACTCCCCACAACTCCTTTGGGTCTTCTCTTCAATTGACCTCACCTCAGCTTTCGGAAATATCTAATCCCAAAGAAGCCAAAGCTTGTAGGCAAGTCCTCTTTCCCACGCCAATTATAGCCTCTTTCTTACTTTGTCCAACTTTGAATTGTGTGTGTGTGTGTGAGTCTAGAGAGAGAGAGAGAGAGAGAGAGAGAGAGAGAGAGAGGGTTGGCCTTCTACCGAAATGGGATACAAGATGTGGTTGTTTGAGCTGATTTGAACAGCTTTGCAGGTTCAAATTCGCTCCATATATAACTGTAAGTTTTGTTCAAATGTTAGTTTATAATTAATTATTTGGTGAAATGAAGAGCTAACCTGACTAAAATGCCCTTAAAGAATAATAGAACTTGCATACGATGAGGCTTATCTCTTCTGTGGCATCTCATTCCTATAAAAAAATGACATGGTTTTTCAACACGTATCATGAGATTGAATTGAAATACTACATGACAGTGAATTAATTTTATGTAAGTTTCTCTACAAGAATCCTATCTATTAATCTATTTTAGCTAGCTAAGGAATTATTCATCATCGGCATACAAATTTTTTTTCTTCTTCTTCTAGCGATCAAAATATGTGAGGGAAATTTCCAAAATGGGTCAATGGAATTAATTACCGTATGACAGATTAGGGTATGGTGCTATCCATATATGCCTGCACTAGGTTTGTCAACAAATAGAAGAATGAAAAGTCATTTTCATGCATTGCTAAGGGCTAACTACATTTTATACCCTTAGCGTTTTAAGTGATTTTTAAATTGGACTATGAGGTTTTAATTCTCATATACGTTGCACTCTATGGTTTTGTAATTGTATCAATTTATACCTTTTGTTTAATTGAACTATAATTCTCCGTTAAATTAATGAGTTTATAATTAATCTGATACAAATGTGGCTTACCCAATTACAGGTTACATGCTCACCATATCATTAGTTTTATGAGGATTCAAAGAATTCGTTAGACAAACTCACAAAAGGCATAAATTGATACAGTTTTAAAATCTTAAGGTGTAATGTGAATAAGTTAAGACCTCTCTATCAGATGTTAATTTGTTTCAACCATTTTTAATTTGTCCTTTATCGGGACTTTATAAAAAGTTTCATCAAATGTTTAGGTGTGCGGTAGAGCTATGCTCAATGCCTAATTACATAAACATAACTGAGAAGTTCGGGTCCTCTTTTGAACTTATAGCACTAATGAGCTTCTTGCTGGATTTCAAAAAATCAATGGACTGCAGGCCTTGGTAAAAAACGGTAGGTTCTTGACAAAGGATTTACGAAACTTTACATTTCAATTTAGTTATCCACCGATCGAGTTTGACATACTCGCTTCGTTTGGATTAATGACGCAATGAGCTATGTTCTCAATTGCTTAAATATGAATTTCATATTCACATACAGACGCCTATATCATTATCTGATGAAAATTGAAGATCAAGAGACTGAGGCTTAATTAGATCCAATCGAGGAACTTCATATGCAAATTTGGCACAGCGTGACAAATAATGGATATCAATTGATAATAATAAAGAATGATGAAACTGTAATTCACTAAAAAGTATGAGAAAATCTCAAAGTTCATGATAAAAATTATGAAATAAACAAGCCTAGCATGCAACCTGAAAGTGGTATTTATAATACCTCTTAGTCTTAATATATTTTTCAGGAGTTCAAATTGGAAAAGTATTAAAAAATAACAGAATACTGAAGCGTCCTAAAATCTTAGAATCCTAATAAAACATTATAAACAATAGATTTCAGCTGAAAAATCCCATATGTCACGGCATAGTGAACTCATGATACTGTTTTCTTTACAAAGGTGGGTCATTGACCTAAATCAAACACTATATTCCAAATCCACAGAGTTTTATTAATAGTGCCGGATTTGCGCCTTTCAACTTGATATTCAATCCATTCTACCGTATATTTACAACAAGATCTAATCAAAGAACTTTCTTTTGTATGATATTAATTCATCATAACACAAAGTTAAAAACAAATATGAATTCCGTACCAACATATGTCAATGAATAATCTTGTCGAAGAGACATGGAAGACGATCCAAGAAAGTTGTTAAAACGTGTCAAATGTGTGTTATACTATGAAATCGTTATGTTTATAATCTATGTCAGTTTTGTATTTAGTTAAAGTAGAAATATTATAGTTACTCGTTACGTTGATCGTTAGAGAATCACTTAGTACTGCAGTTTAGTAATATTTTTTTTCAATTGTAAGTAAAATATTTAAATTCAATTTTTGTCGAAACCGAATTTGAACCAAATATTATGGTTGGACATTCATTAGAAAATGCGACGTAGCTTATGAAATGATTATCGTGGTCTTTACTTCAAATCTAGTATGATCAGATTGCAGTATAAAACTTCATATGTAATATATTTTGGCCATTTTACTTTGATATCTACTAGTACCATTTTTGGGTGGCAACCTTCCAATAAATGGGGCCTGCCTATATATCGTTTCTGATGTAGGAATTCATCGTTGATAGGAGAGAGGCCTATATATGTATAACAAAATTGACTAGTTGTTATTAGCTACCTGATATATGCTCATTGGTATAAGATCCACATCCCCTCCTTAAATGGTGATCCATAATCCATGATTGGCTTACTGGTCATGATATGCTTAGTTCATACCTTAGCAGCCATCTCTCTCTATCTCGGTCTCGAATTAGCACAATATATCAATCTGAAGAACATTTTTATTGGTTGTAGTGAGGATTACGAAGCCGCTCCCCCATGCTGCGGCTGCGGTGGTGGGGGTTGCCGCCTCCATTTTTGGGGGAAGTATCCCAATTCTAATATTTGATATATTATATTATACAAATACATAATTATCTGTCCATCTAAAAAAATTATAATTTATCATTTAGTACTATGGTTTAGTGGTATTTGTCTTCACTTTAGGTTTGAATCTCGTGATTGATGAATTTAATATCAAATTTAGCTGCCCATTGTGTGGCTAAGCCGAACTTCTCCTCCCTTAGTGTAAAAATATCATTATATGGGATTCCCCAAGTTATTAATAGTGATAACAGAAATGAAGAGTCACAGAAAATGAACCAATGTTGTAGAGAAAACAAGAAAGAAGAACAATTCTTAGAGAGAGAAAGAAGAGAGAAGGAAGAGAATTCTCAATTGTATTTTTTTGTATTGTATTTCCATTGTTTGTTTGATGCTATTACATTTGCTTATATAGCCACACATGGCTTACACTCTAAGCAATATGTTTTTGACAAAACCAACTACCTAACAACCTTTACGTTAACCTTTTTAACAGCTACTAACAGTTTTCCTATCGGCCTACATTATTCATCACCCCCCCTCAATCTCAACTGGGTTTCCTAGTTTGAGATTGAATCAATGCTTAACAAAGGTAGGACTGTGAAGACCTTTAATAAGCACATCTACTCAACCTTGCAGCAAATGAATTTGAAAATGCATTAACTGAAATTCTGAACAAATCCCCACCATCACTCATTCCTTGATATAAAATCACCCTTGTGGCCTTGTCCTTCCCCATTGCCGATGATAATCTTCTCATTTCCATTGTATGGGGCAGCTTGATTAATGTTGGTAGCATTGGCCATCATGTGGTGTGTTGCACCAGTGTCCAGAATCCAAGTTTCAGCAGCATTGAATCCATTATCATTGACAACATTTGTATTTGGTTGCCTCAGATTGGTTTGTGCAGACAAAGCAGTGAGGGAAGGTGGTGGTGGATTACCTTGGTATGAGAAATTGTTCATGTGATAGCATTCAAGGGCAATGTGACCCTTCTTTCCACAGATTTGGCACACAACAAAATTTGAAGGTTGTCCATTGTTATCAGCCTGGTAATAACAATTTGGTGCAGTGTGTCCTTTCTTTGAACAGATTTGACACTCAGGTGAGATAGCATTCTTATAGTTGGTATTGCCATTCCAAGATCCTCCTTAAAGTTTGAGCTAGTGTCACCCCCTTGTGAATTTGAACTTTCTCCATGCTCATAACTCTGGTTTCCTCCTTAAAATATGTTAGAACTTGCCCCATCGCCTTGTACATACATTGCAGACATGGAGTTGGAAAGAACCTGCATCCGAGCCTCAATACTAGCTTCTGCACCCAACAATTGTGCTCGAAAATCTTTAAGTGACATTATGGAATCCCTTGCAAGAATCACCGTCTTGATTACTTCAAAATCAGTAGGCAGTCCAGATAAAATAACAATGATATAATCATCATCTGATATCTTTTCACCAGCATAAATTAATTGATCTCGAATCCCCTTGAGTCTAAGCATGAATTTGTCCACAGAGTCTCCTCCTTTTTGTGCAGTATGAAATTCTGTCTTCAGTTGATTCACACAAACCATTGATACAGATACAAACCTTTCTCGTAGACAATTCCAAGCTTCTTGTGAAGTTTTGCACCCAAAGATATGTTCCATGGCATCATCAGACAGGGTGGCAATGAGCAGACTTAGCAATGCAAGATCTTTCTTCACCTAATCTTTATATGTTGTAGTAACTCCAGTGTCTATATTGATTACATACTTTGGTGGACATGGCGAATCTCTAGTGAAGAAATCAAACATATCATAACCTCTCAAAACAGACTGAAATTGAAAGCTCCATTTCATACAATTATCATCTTGAAGCCTATCTGTAAGCATTCCTCGCAACCCCTCAATCTTCACGAACTCAGACATGATATTTTAAGGAACTTGTAATGAAAGAACGCAAATGATATGGAGTACCCAACAATACACTTCGGCTATTGGCCTTACAGAAGTGCAAGAATCAAGAAATGGCTATTGACCTTGTTGAAATTCACTAGAAATGGCTATTGGCCTTATCAACAACACACTCTTTGGCTATCGGCCTTAACAATTCTCTACTGCAAAGACTCAATTTATGGCTATCGGCCTTGAATTTTCAAGTAAAACACCATGCAAAACAATGTTCATTGACGCATAAAAACAAATAGGTGATGTGCATTTCAGAAACCATGAAAAGAACAAGCTTGATGATTGTCGAAATCGTTACCCAAATCACAGAGAAGCACCATAAATCTTCAACAATGTCAGCGGAAGAACAACACCAAGAATCGTTTAGCGATTGATATCAT